GGCTCAGAATGTGGGATGACCTGACTTTGACTGCAGCACAGTGCCTCATATTTTACATCAATTCTTCTCTGAAATAACTTGAAAATGTTGCAATTATGAGGCTAAAATCTTTTTTAAAATCAATAAAATGAAACTGGTGCACTGCCAAAGCCTGTCATGTGTCCAGATCCCAGCGATGCCTCTGGTTTAGACGTTTCAGGTGTTTATGACTTAACAGCGTCTGCAGATTTTAATTTCAGTGACTCTCCAAATGCTCCAATATCTCACCAAAACATTAGAGAAAAACTCTTTTTTTTTTCCTTTTTTGAAAACTCTGACAAAGTTCAAATCCAGGCTGGAAACAGCTCTATGTAGTTGTGCACATGACAGCTGAAGTATTTTATCTGTACTCTTCAAATTAATATTTATATTTATGTTCTTATGGATTGATTTCTCTTTGCTTTTAATGTAATTAATTAATATTTGTGTTTATGTTTCTGTGGACTGATTTTATCTGTCTTCTTGTACTTTTGTGTGAAGCACTTTGAATTACCTTGGGGATGAACTGTGCTGTACAAATAAACCTGCTTTTATCCTGCCTTTTTAGTATTTATTTATTTGACCTTTATTTTACCAGGTAAACATGTTTGAGAACCAGTTCTCATTTGCAAACATGACCTGGCCAAGAAGCCTCAGCAGGAACAAACACACATGTGAATTACAGACACAAACAAACACAAAAACATAACAGAGAACAGAAGAAAACAAGAAGGAAGCATGAGAGCATATACATGTGGGTGAGAAAAGGTGTGCATGAGAATGTGTATATATACATACATACACACACACACATATATATATATGTGTGTGTGTGTGTGTGTGTGTGTGTCAGTAAAGTTAATGTTGTATTGGTGCTTTTATTAGAGTAAAGGATCTGAACACTTCCTCCATCACTTTATGAAAAGAGCCTGACATCTCTCTGGTCCTTACCGCTGCAGGATGCTGCACCGGGGTGTCTGCAACACTGCACCCCGGAGAGGAGCACGGACAGCGGCTGTAGCGGAGCCGCACAGAGGTGTAGGCTGGATGAGGTTTGAGAACCGACAGAGCTGTGGTGTCCTGGCGCCCACAGAGAGAGACAGCGGCCTCAGCAGCCCTGTGACACACAAGGACAACACACAACACATGAAGAGGAAGCCAAGCTAACGCTGCTAGCTAGCTAGCTAGCTAACGGGAGGACTTCAGCGACTGTCGGAACCAACAGACGTTTCTGTTCAGGAAACTAACGCACGGATAACATACTACACATCTGCAGAATAATGAGGGTGCGAGATAAAAGCGTGAATGTCAAATTGTGGTTACACACCGGGCAGTCTTCTCGCCAAGGCGGCCGCCATGTTTCCTCCTGACGTCACTACGGAGTCCCGCTTGGACAAACTCTGACTGTTAATGTTTACGCTAATGCTGAAGTCCTTTACCGCCACCTAGCAACTGCTGAAGGACATGAGATGTGCTTTTGTACAAATATCCACACATTTTCTGTTCATTATAGTTTCAACCTGCGGTGACTGTAGTTCTAGGAGGACATTCAAGTACTAAAGTCATAGTTTGAGGTAGTTATACTTTGAATATTTCACTTTGACCAACCATTCAGGGTGAAATGTTGCATTTCTTACCTTCACTACTGCTTGATATTTGTTTGACTGCTTGCAGTTACTAATTAAGTTATATTTTATTCAGCTAAAGCAAAGAAAATTTAACAATATGATGTACCAGTACAGGCCTACAATAAATGACCCAGGACTACATCATGTGAAACAGATCAAATTAGCTCCACCTTAACCGGCTGAAACATTCAGATGCATTGAAATTGAAAATAAAAATCGCTCAATAATATAACACTCGTGAACAGACTGTGTTGTTCATATTTATCTTCTTATACACTGTAAAAGAAAATATATAGTCACATTAACATATTTTCTAGTTTAATTAATGCAAATGTATGTTTTACTCATTGTTTCTAGTTAGTTTTCATTTTTATTTCCAGGCAAAAAAAAAACAAAACATGAGTACTAATAACTTTTGACTTAAAATAACGAGTTGAATCAATGAACAGCTGAGAATTCATTCATTCAACTCATTAAAGTAAGTTTATAAGTTTATAAGTAATATAAGCCTGTCAGCCTTGTTTTTTTGTTTTGTTTTGTTTGACCACAAACTTTCTGTGTGCCTTTACTACGTGATAAATTGAGCTGCTTCTTTTCATAATAAACACTAATCATGACAAATGTTAGCATTGAATTCATTTGTAGAATTAATTATACACCTTTCTGTAACTGGGAGCAGCCTCACGGATTGTTTTCTTACCGACTCTGGAACATTTTTAAAGTGTAGCATTGATGCCAAATACATTTAGATTTCTTAATTCAATATACAGCTTTTACTTTAGCAAAGAGATTAGTGCTGGCAATCCAAAAATCAACCTGGAGGCACATTTCAGCCACCAGTGATCTGTTATGTCCTCCAGTATTCACTCTGTGTTCGCTGCATGTTCGCTGAACATAGTTTTATATGCAGCTTTCAGCAGCTCTCTGTGTTGCTACGTGGTTGTCACACTCTGTCAACATGTTTATCTGATGTTCTGATGTGCCATTTGTCACAGTCTGCTGCCGGGTGTTTTACAGAATGTGGAAATAATTGCTCAGCGCCGTGGAACCAAACCAGAGAGCGACTTTTCTTATTCACTTAGTCTGGTGAACCCTGCAGTGTGTGTATATTTATTAATGACAGAAATATTCCCGTCAGTTAAGCCCGTTGATCTGAAACACCTCATCATTGCTGTGATTTATGTTCCATAATAATATCTGTGCTTTTTTCTGGCAATGCAATGTCAGAATGTGGGTTTAACGGGTCTGTGGTGTGTCATACGCTTATTTAGTGTCACAGCATTGCAGAGCTCAACCTTTACTCTTACATATAAACACATATATATATTCTAAAACATTTAAAACACAACATCACAGCTTAATTAAGAGGGAAATAAACTCCTAATATTGTTTTGTACATATGGTACCATGCTGTAGTTTAATGCATTTTAAGGCTACTTTAAAAATATAATTACACGACTGGTGCAGTAAACAGAGAAAACCTGAATCATATCGGTATTTGCTGTTTGTTTTTTTTGTTTTTTTTTCTGTCTTGTGATCCCAGACTGAGTCCATGATGGTGAGATCAGGGCTCTGTGGGGGCCACGCCATCTGTTGCAAGACTCCTGGTTCTGCTCGTGGCAGGTTAAAGCCTGTATGTTTGGGGTTGTTGTCGTTCTGCAGAATGAAATTGGAACTGATCAGACGCCTGATTGTACTGCGTGATAGATAAGACTCATCCCAACATTTGGACAGAGAACACCATTCATAGGCAAATTACCACCAAACCAAAACATGGCAGAAAAAGGATGATTATTTATGTACTTGGTGGAAGATGTCAAATTGTTTGATTTATTTATGTGTGTATTGCCAAAATATCCTCAAATGAATAGTATTGGTCATTAATTTACACT